AGCTTGAAGTGGCTGCATGATTTCACGTTAGCAAGGAAATCGATAGCCAAATAGTCACCAGAATATCAATAACGATAAAGTATTGACATGGGGACCATGTTCTATAAGAGAAACAAACTCACCGGACGTCTAGCACCCATGGTCGCCTCGCTCTTATCCGAAATCAATGGTGGGCAGGTATCAAGGCGCTCAGGATGGATATTGAGCTATTTCTTAGTGAAGTGGATTCAGGAAGTTATCTCGCGCTCCATTCCAAGTCCCAATATGAATACGGAAAGACTCAAACTGACGCAAATCCAGACATGATTGAAAGAGAAGGAGGGGGGAAAGAGGAGCCCGACAACTTGGGTTAAGTTATAATCTGGCAGGGCGGGAGGACAATCCCGACAACTATAATTCAGCGTAAGATCGACATTTGAAATATTCGAAAACAAATAAAAAAACATAAAAAAAGAAAAAAAAGACCAAATGCGAAACCAAATGCGAGAGCAAACCCCGGAAGTGGAGCTCTAGTTCGTGTACAAAGCTGGGTGAATGGTAAAGAGTGAAAAAGTAAAAGCATATGAAAGAGCACGATGCCCAGGCGCTTCAGGCGTGAAATCATTAAAAGCGGAATAGTACCCATGTAACGTCCCTGTTTTCGCCAGGGAAAAAGTTTAGTGGTCTATTGAAAATGATTGGACGGAATTAATATGTAATTGACACGACACTGGCTTTTTACTTCACTTTTTCTAGTTTACGTTTCGTGTTTTTGTGTTTTTTGTTTTTTTTTCTACTATTCAGAGACCTGGAATATAAATATTAAACTTATTTCTTTTCCTTCAGAAGGACAGAATCATAAGATGCAATATTTCTTGGCAGCTTCACTATTATTCCAAGTTGTGATGTTGGATTGATAAAACCTAAGGCTCTTTCCCCGGTGACCCCCGGTCATCCTCCGATTCCCTAACATGGAACCCCAGATGGTACATGTTATGTATCTTTTTCAGAACTTGGCCAGCCATTTTACCCAGGGCTCATTATCTCGATCCTCGCGATCGAAGGCTCCTGGCTAATTGGGCTCGATGAACCAATAGAGGTTGGTTCCACCTAGCTGGGAATATGCAACCCGCCCAGCCACGGGCCGCCTTCAACCTTTCTGCTGGGATTTGCCCTTAAGATTCAGCCGATCAACAGAAACGATTTCCAAGAACACTTGTGCAGAACACTTGTGCAGAATCTTGCAGGGTCATCCTAGCAATAGCCAGATTCAAACGCCGTTATACCCCGAAGTGAGATTTCTTTTTTTTTTTCCGTGAATAAACAAATAAACACATGTTACCAATGTTTCAAATCAAAAAAATCAAAAATGGAAAAAGGAGAAGGGGCGGTAATAATGGATTCTAGACTGGGGAACGGCCCCATAGAGACGTGGAGTTGTTGGGATTTCCCAAATGAATTCATCTCCATAACAATCACGGCCCCGGTACTGTTCCCACGCCAGGACCTTAGTCATCGCACGGACTCCCAATGGTTGGACCCGAATATCAAATGGAATAATTCTAGAAGATTTTTGAAGTCCTGTATAGAAAACTCGAAGTTTCCTTTGTTCTTTTTCGTTGCAGGACAACTCGGACTCCTACCATATTTAGGCCTAGCGGTGGGGAAATAGGAAGTGATCCATCAGAAATAGCGTCACACGGGGCGTTTGAAGCCTGGGCTTTTTCTCCCCAAATTGCTCCAAAAGGAGGGGCACATGGGATCGAGAAGTGCATCACGGAACATGCACAATAGTTTCCGCTACTTCGGGTCTTCATATTAGTTTTTATCTTGTATCTTTTATTTTTATTTTTCTAATGGCGTCTGGATTTCTGCACTATACAAGATATTACCTACTCCGTATATCGTAGAGAGATACAGAGTACTCAAGTGTCCTCCTGAACTTCTAGACCTAGGAAGATCTGGAAATCTTCCGTCATTGCTCTACAAATGTCGATCAAACAAATATGAAACAATTATAACGTATAGCATGTATTGTAGACGGAAATGGCAAATGTGCTCAGGTGTATACCCCAATTTCAAGTAACAAAAACACCGACAAAGATATAGATGTAACCTTCTGTACTCGGAGTACCCCGAATCAAAAAGCTGCAGTCTTAGCATTCTACGGAAAGAAGGGGGCTTGTAGATAGAATCCCAAGCACAGCATCCCTGCAGCCGTCCCAAAAATAATGTTCTCGCTGCCATGGACCCGGGTTCCCATCCAAAGGGAACACCCCGGGAATTAATTGGAATTGAAATTCACCCGGACCCGGTGACTGGGAAAGTTATTCGGGTTCCATCGTGTCGGTAACGCCAGCCCCAGAACCAATTTTCGAGACGGGACCATGTATGTTGTACATACCTTCTTTGATGGACATTTCAATCTTTTTTTCTTTGCAAATTGCCTAGGTATGCGAATGCGAAATTTTTTTTTTTTTTCGGATGAGTTGTCTCTCTCTGATGCTACATTAGTACAACAATAGATGCGTGGTTCGATGTCCGTCGAACCGCAACCCAGGAACCGCTAAGTCGTCACTCCGCAGCGTAGTGGAGACATCCCTTGGCGATTTATCTCTTTTGAGATTCTTGCTTTGGTCGCTGGTATCTAAAAGCACCCACCATAAGCAGGACTCGTACAGAGGATGTACATACCATACTTTCTTTGATGTGGGGAGGTAGGGCATTGGAAATTACAGAGTCTGTTAGTCTGCTAAGTGTTCACAACCGAACAACTCCGAATACATACGACTAAGCCGAGACACATGCTACACGAGATGCCAAGACTCTGACAATAAGTTAATGGCCTATCAGATCTGAGTCCAAGAGGAGAAAACGTGTACTCACTTTACTACTTTCACTAAGCTACTCTGTATGTACCTAGTTAGTACCTAGTTTGTAGGGCTGCACACCGGAAACTTCAGCCAGCCAATCTGCATCAAGCTCTGGGAAGAAGAAAGAGTAAGTGACAAAGCGTGCTAAGCAAATGTATGCAGCGAGAATCACCCCAAGCTGCACCTTGCTCCTACCGGTAGGGTAGCAACTAGATGCACCTGGAAGGATGTGCCTGGCTCGATTCTGGACAACTCATTTACTTCTAAAATAGTGAAACTCTATTGGAATTAGTTTGGAGTCAAGTAAGACATGCAGCCTATTATCCTTGACAACGTGCATATCGGCCCATTGCCCGTCTTGGGGCTTTCGCTAAACGGACTTGATACTACGTGTCATGCATAAAACAACTACCTGCTGGTGAAAGGGTAGACCGCTTGGGTATTTTTCACAGATATTTATTCTCCACAGATGATATCACTACGTTTTATTGGCCACGGATGAAATAGACCTATACTTCACAAGGCGACTTTTTCACCAGCTTGGGGGTTCCGCTAAGGACAACGACAATACCAATACGAAACTAATCAGAAAGGAAGAAAGCAACCCCCTTTGTCATTCTCTTTAATTTGATGAAGCCCAATAAATCAACTATTAACCCTGTTGTGCATGTAGGTGCGGGGTGAATTATTCACAGAAATGATCGGCTAGAGAGATCCACACAGTTCAATTCGCGGTCTCGCCGAAGTAACCCCAACACGTTCTCACACCTTTGCACATAGTACATTAGAGGGGAAGGAATTTTTTTTAAGGGCCCATCGCTTAAGAAAAGTCAAAAATATTTGGAATTGGAACTGCAAATCATCTGCTAGAATCCAGAATACCGGGCCTGGGTGGAGCTACGACCAATCGGCACGGCTTAGGACTAAAAGGTGTGACCACCGCACAACTGTCAGACGCAAGCGAAATGTAGATCATGCACATCTACAGTTGGTCTGGAGAGGAAAACCATCTCTTCCACACCCCCACCATCCACCAAGAGGGGTTAGTGTCAAAATGTTGAAGCTAGTATTGTCCTTGTTGATTTTCCTTTTACAGCCTGGTCTCATTTAGAAATTTCTATGTTGTAGATCGCGCTCTAGAAGGGCCCTTATTAACTTTCTAGGGTAACCTAACTGATCACTCGGAAAGCAAGTTATCTCCGCTGAATAGGTTCTATTGGCTGGAATGTCTCCGTCCTATAGAGCCCATGCAAATCTACGAGGGAGAAACAAAAAAATAATGGCTGGGATATGCTTAGACGCAGTATAGTAGATTGCAATATATATCATGAACATTAATTGGACTCCGTATATGCATACCGCTTTGCTTAGTATCCCAGATACTTATCCATTTTACCTGCTCGGCATGTGCAAATCCTTTTGGAAGATGACGTGGTATCAGGCAATTTGTGAAGTCCTGTTGTCATTCAATAGTATTGTATCTTCTTTGCTGCTTGGTCAATTAGGACTCACTATCTAACTACATGTATTTCATCGACCTATATCCTAGGTAAATTATCTTCTTCTTTGGATACGGTGTTATCTTGGCTTGACTGCTTGTAGGGCTTGGTTTTGTTTCGCTAAGGATAATAGAGAAGACTTTTATGTAGATATATATCTTGTGTTCTCGCGGGGCTTTTTTTTTTTTTTTTTGCCATTTAACAAGAACTAAGTGAGACATCCATAAACCATACAAGCTTAATCCAATAACCAGAATAATCAGGATATCAATAAATAAACCATTCAAATCGGTTGATATTAGACAAAACGCAAACAGTTTCCAAGGCTACTTCCTAATCGGGTTATATTGATGTCGGTACGGATAAATCAAAATCCGACATGACGCACCCTGTGATCTGGAAGGACCCGAAATGCAGCGCGTCAACAAAGCTTTGGCGGGGACACATCTCTGTTGTGCAAATATCATTTCTGAAAAGTAGGGAACATTTTGCTTTTTCTGTTCCTTGATGTTTTGTCCTATTGCATTTCCAAGGAGGGCAGGTTACCGAAACGCTACATTGTGTGCTGACGCGCGACGCGTAGAGCCTCATCGGATAAAAAGCCTAGGAATTTACTACATGATTCTGCATTTCAACATTTTAGCTTGCAATGGTGCGCCAAACACCAGCCCGTTCCGCAAGGAGCCAGGTGACGCCCGCTCGTCAACCTAAACGTCAGAGACAGACAGATGATCATGCTCCAGATGTCTATCAAGAACTGCTGGAGGAGGCTGAAGCTAGAGATCCCGGGCAATTTGCTTCAGACAGACCAATTAAGAGGCGTAAGGCCGGGGATATGAAAGCTATCCCCGTGGGATTAGAGGCCTCGGAACAAACACATCGGGACGCAGAAGCAAACAAACATAGCACCCAACCGGTGCAAACTGTTTACGATTCATCGACATCAGAAGAATCAGACGTTGACTGGGAAGATGTTGAATTACAGCCACCATCCCAGTCCTTGTTGAGACACTTTCCGTCTCAAGGTGACGATGACATGCTCCAGATCACACTGGAGCAAGAACCCGAGAAGCACAAAAAAACATTTCAAAGAAGGAAGCCTTTAACTGGAGCCGAAAGAAAAGCTAGATTGGATGTGCACAAATCTCATATTCTTTGCCTTCTCGGCCACGTCCAGTTACGCAACATGTGGTGCAATGATCAGGAATTACAGGTGAGTGCTGGCCTACTTGGGCATATCGATTAAGGGTCTAACAGCATTGTAGGAATTCCTAAAGAAGACACTGCCTAGGAAAGTAATCGCCCTTCTACATCCAGACGAGGATAAACCACATTATAACAGATCCACCACGTTTATGGATGGTCTCAACCAGGCTGCAGATGCCTTCACACGCAGATTTCAGATTACCAAACCAGGAATGAAACGGGCTCACTGGGCGGAAGATGAATCGCAATTGAAGCAGAAACTGGTATCCTTCATAAGTTTTTCCATCAACAACCATTCACTGACATGAATATACAGGAATCAATCATGACGAATGCTGAAGTCTTCTTATCCAAAGGGGATTTTCGAACCCAAGCAAAGACAATGCAAGGTTCCCGGGACTTTGGGGCTCAGCTATTCTGTGCCCTATTGCGGTCTGTAGCTGTAGAGGCGAGACTTATTTGCTCATTGCAACCGTTGCCATTTTCTGGCACCGTGAAAGACATGACGCCGTCTAAACCAAAGCATCAATATATCGTGATATCATCAGACGATCCTGGATCCTCAACAGATGAACGCAGCCAGAGTGAAAAATCATCTGCAGCTTCAAGACCTCGACGGATTGGACAGCCTAAATTCACCCCCTCACGTCCTCCCCAACCGAAATACTGTTCAGGTATGTGATTTTAAGCGATTGTTAGTCTACGCCTACTAACACCCACAGCTCCAATTCCGACACCGCGAGACTCGTCATTTCCGGTATTTTGGGTGGAAGCCTTCAACGAAGCTGCACAGAAATGGGTTCCAATTGACCCCGTCGTAACAAAATCCCTAGCTAAACCTTCGAGGTTTGAACCACCTGCGAGTGATTCGTTAAACTTGATGAATTATGTGGTTGCTTTCGAGGATGACGCCTCCGCAAGAGACGTCACTCGTCGCTATGTAAAAGCATTTAATGCAAAGACACGGAAACTCCGCGTGGAAGTCACACGGAATGGCGAGAAGTGGTGGGATAAGGCACTAAAGGCCTATGAAAAACCCTTCTTCGACGATCGGGATGAGGCAGAGATTAGTGAACTAACATCCAAATCAGCAGCCGAGCCAATGCCACGCAATATCCAGGACTTCAAGGATCATCCCGTCTATGCGCTTGAGCGACACGTTCGTCGCAATGAAGTAATCCATCCCAAACGAATCATTGGGCACGTGGGGCTGGGAAAAAGCACAGCACGGAGTGAGACATCCGAACCCGTTTATCGTCGATCTGACGTGCATATTGTGCGAAGCTCCGATAAATGGTATCGCCTTGGGCGGGATGTTAGAGTTGGCGAGCAGCCTCTCAAGCGTGTTGCCGCCAGTCGAAGCAAGGGCGGGGGATTCAGTGATGATGAAGATGAAAATGAGCCTCAAGAGACTACACTATACGCCGAGTTCCAGACAGAAATCTACGTCCCACCACCGGTGGTTCAGGGAAGAATTCCGAAGAACACATACGGAAACCTCGATGTTTATGTGCCCAGTATGGTTCCACCTGGCGGAGTTCACATTAAGCGGCCGGAGGCAGTTCGAGCTGCTCGAATCCTTGGCATTGACTATGCCGACGCAGTCACTGGGTTTGAATTTAGAGGTCGTCGTGGTACCGCTGTACTCGGGGGAATTGTTATTGCCATCGAGTACCAGGAGGCGCTTGAGGAAGTTTTGAGGGGTCTCGAAGATGAGAGGCGGTATGCTGCACTGGAGGCAAGAACTGTGGAGGCTCTACGGTTCTGGCGGCTCTTTTTGATGAAGCTTAGGATTGCAGAAAGGGTCAAGGAATATGCCGACGATGACGAGGAACAACAGCCTGAAGATATCGAAGACGAAATGGATGTTGATGCTGGTGGTGGTTTCTTTCCTGAACCAGATGAACCAGCCAATAGTCTGCCTCCGAAAGTTCTAGGAAAGGGCAGAATGGTACATGACCAGGGGTTTCCCGAAGACTACACGAAAAGAGAAACGAAACCGTCATTGGACGAGGAGGATTATACTCTTGAAGGGGGATTTCCGCCCGATGATGATGATGATCTAGCCCCAGACCCGGTGGAACCTCCAAATCCTGCGCCTTTGGCCATAAACCCGATGTCGATTCCTGAGAGTATTGCCAGGAACAAAGCATCAAAACCACCTCGCTACTCACTGGTGGTTGTCCCAAACCGCGGCTCAAACCCGACATCTGTACCCCAAGTCCTCGCAGGATCATCTGACAAAGCTCCTATCGCTGTAGATTCGTCAACAAATGGTGGCTCCAAATCCGCAAGTGTGGTTACTGTCTCTCAGCCACCGTCACCCGTGCCTAAATATGATTCCGACAGCGAGATCGAGAAGGGATCTTTGCTTTCTGAGGACCCTGACGATGAGGATGCAATTCCCGAATGGTTGATGTCTGATGAGGACTAGTTTTTCACAACTAGACCTGTTGTATGTTACCTATGTATATTGGACATGAATTGTTTAAATAAAAAGATCAGAATTGCTACTTTAGGATTGCTTTCGCCGACCTCGAAATTTGTTAAGCTCACACTTTAGGCATGGCTTATGTAACATTATACGTGAGCCTTATCAACAGCCCGGCCGGGCTAGCTCAATCGGTAGAGCGTAAGACTCTTAATCTTAAGGCTGCGGGTTCGACCCCCGCGTTCGGCTATTCCTAAAACCAAACCTGAGATTTCTTTTTTGCTCTTTTTCTTTTTAAATTCCTTTTTTCTGTTCGAACAGTCCAGATTGGAATGATTGCATTGTTTTTTATGTCATTATTATATTGTGAATGCATGGAGGTCAAAAGTATCGCACACGGACCAAGCCATTATTAGCGACGCGTCGACGCGAACCGCCTTAGGCATCTATCTCCCTTAACGTCATATCTTTTACCTGTAGGCTCCAGTCTGATGTTTAAGCCTTGAAACATTGCTGTTGCAATGAAGCAATCGCATGAATCTCGTAACCTGCCAGAGCCTCCTCGAAATCAGTCCCACACCCCGAGCTGGTCGAGTCCACCAGGTCTTCCAACAACTGCCACGAAAAGCATCACCGCACGGAACCGATCACCACAGTCATCGACATCAGCAAGCACTCGTAAACGAGCATTGTTGCCACGAGTTCAATCAACTCTCACGCAAATTGACTTTGTGACACAACCCACGCCTTCAAATGATGACCAGCTTGGCTACATTGACGAACACAAGCGTCGCGACGATACCCAGGACACAACTCAGCGGCCAAATGTAGATGATGGGTCCGACAAGGATTCAGACTATCTTCCCGCTCCACCAGTTCGGTCAACCCGTGTCTCGAAATTCAAGATGAGTGAGCAAGAGCGCGATTCAAATGAACGCTCGCAGAAGCGGAGGAGCTCTAGAGTCGTCAATCGAGATGGAAGCCGAAGTCATGGACCACGAAAGAGCGAGACACCAAGGGCGAGTGTCCGTCCCAGGGGCGGTCGAAAATCTTTAGAGAAGTCAACGGGAAAGCGGGACAAGACTTTAACTCAGATGGACTTTGTGCGACGTTACATTACCATCGATGATGATGATGATGACGACGACGTGAACATGGGATATATCCAGCCGACACCGCAGAAGAGGGACATGAAAAATGAACAAACAGAACATACGCCCAAACAGAAACGTACGACCTCCGCCAAACGAAAGCGCAGAGCCTTAGAAGAAGAGCTGGATCTCTCAACTGGGGAACCTATATCTCAACAAAAAGAAGCACCGGAATCAAATCCTGGAAGTGGAGGTGGGGGAGAGCGGGCATCTACGGCTCCTGTCACGCCGCAAAAGCTTCGGACGCGCGAGATACCTTCTTCACAGACGCCCGAAAGCCCCGGCCTCGCTATTATAACTTCATCTCAATTTCGCAGCACTACTTGCTCTCCTTCGAAACGGAAGCAGTTAAACCCCGCAGATAATTCCATGCAACCTATCAAAAAAGAACCCCCGGAGGCTTGGCGAGTGGTTGAGGATTCACAAGACCCTGCAGGCCAATCTTTACCACGGCCAACAACATTCGATTCTACAAGTCTCCGTAACAATATGTTCCACCCTTATCCAACTACTACTGAGGAATTCCCCTCATCTGTACCCCCGACGGAGTCAACCTCCCAGGAATTCCCCACTGAAGCTAATGGGAGCTCGAGAACTGAGCCTACTAAGAGGGAAAGGACAGTCGTTTACGAAACGGATGCGGACTCGGAATACGGAGACTTTGAGGAAAATCTCAATGGACGTTCCGTGACACCATCTCCGAAGAAAGCACACAGAGAATTCGGTCCGCAGGACGGCTCACAGGCGACCCAACACAGCCTAGAGTCACCCAAGGATGATTCCCAAGAACTTCCTCTACCAGCTGCGCAACCGAGCCCTGGATTGGATGATGCTCCTTCATCCGAAGCTCCGATGTCTGATGCTTCAATTTGCTATCAAAGAATGCACGCAGCTACACAGTTCCCGCACGAGCCAATCCCAACGCTGAATACACAGAAGATGTCTGAGCTTTTCCCTCACGGAGGCAGTAGCCAGTACACAAATTTGGAGGCGTGGAAGCCTTCTCTTCGAAACCAGGCACCGGGGCCATTCTCTCAGACACAGACACAGAGCCAGGAAGGTGACAAAGAGTCTACTGAAATGGTTCCCGAGTCGTCGCCCATCCGTGAACGAGAACGTGGAATCGAGTCGGGTGATAATTCGTTCCAACGACCTCGTGTTCCTGGCTCAGTGGTCCAAGTTGAATCCTCGCAGGCGGTGGACCGAGATCCTCAATGGCAGGGCCGGATCCTTTCTCGGAGTCAGCTTCTTACATCGAGCGTCATGGAGAGCATTCCGCTCCCGAATTTTTGGATGGGCAGTCAGGATAGTGTAGGAGAGCCTTACAGCTTACCTGAAGGGTGACGTTGTTTCTGAGATTATTCAATGGAATTTATGACTTATGAATTTGTGAAATACTGTTCAATATGATTATTATATACATTTTACCATAAATTTATTTGCTGTGTTTATATGATGTAGTTGGTAGTTTTTGAGGATCGTCGCAAGCGGGGCGGTCGGCCCATGGACGAACGCGGAGATCCTGCAACCTTGCGCTTCCAAATCCTTGACCCTCCTTTCCCTCCTGCATCTTCCCAATCATGGATATCGCCTACGATTACATCCAGGAGGAGGCTTTTTCCAACAAGGAGGAAGCTCCTTCCGACTCCAAGCCCCAGGAGTCTAACGCCAACCTCAACGATGAGCTACAAGAGACCTTCCGTGCATTCTCCGCCAGTCCGTGGGGCTCCCGAATTGGAGGACTATGGGACAATGTACGCAAACAAGGAGAAACCTACTACGAAGGTGCTCGCCAGGAGTATGCAGCTGCCAGCGAGGAAGCCGTGAAAGGATTTTCAGATCTCAAGGAAACACTCGCCGACAGGACAAAGGGGCTGTCTCTCAGCACAGCTGCCTTGACGGGCAGTGGCGAGGGACAAAGTGACGAGACTACCACACCTAAGGCTGCCGCAGAAGGAGGAGAATCTGCCGACAAGGGAGAAGGCGAAGGCGCTGGCGCCAGTGGAGAAAGCTTTATTACGCGGCTGAAGGCGGAAGCCGCTCGGCGACTGAAGGAGATCGAGAAGGCAGAGGAAGCAGCCGATGAAGCGATCTTGCGATTCGGAATGAACATCGGCCAGAAGCTGCGTGAGGCTGTTAGCATTTTGCCCCCCGACACCGATGAGTCCGGCAAGCTTCTTTTCGAGAGCAAGGATGCTGAGGGAAAGCGGGTCATCCATGCTACACGGTTCGAGGCACAGTTGCACGTTATTCATTCAAACCTGGAAAGTTTCAGCAAGGACCCGGTCAGCGACGAGTGGCCTTCGTTCAAGAAGGAGTTCAATGTCGAAGTCAAGACGGATGAGATCGCCGCCGATTTGGAGAAATACCCCGAGCTCCGTTCGGCCATGGAGAAGCTCGTGCCCGAGCAGGTTGAATACGCGGAATTCTGGACTCGTTACTACTTCTTGCGTCTCGTCGTGGAGACCGAGGAGAAGAAGCGCAAGGAACTTTTGAAGGGTATGTTGAGTCTGTTACCCCGGTAATTTTTGTTTCCAGTGCTAACCTCTTCTATTTTACAGGTGCCAACGCCGAAGAAGAAGAAGAAGTCGGCTGGGACGACGACTCCGACTCTGAGTCTCAGTCTCCCTCTACTCCACATGTCCGCTCCGGTGCTCAGACCCTTGCTCCCACCAAAGAAACCGAGAAAGCCGAGCCTCGCCGTTCAAACGACCAGCACTCTCAAGCCGACAGCGAATCCAGCTACGATGTTGTGAGCGGCGCTGCTAGTCGCACACCTGGTAGTCCCAAGGAAAAGGCTTCATCCGCTGCGAAGGCAGACGAGAGCGATGAAGATTGGGAGTGATTCTCCATCTCTTTTCAAGGACGCATCAGCAAGATGATCTAAGTTGGTCCCGAGGGCGCTTGTCTATACTATATACCCCCGAAAGCGTGGTCTTGCTACTGCGTGCGCCAGCTTAAACACGGCCAATTGCTCCTGAATCTGCTTTGGTTGGAGTTTAGGAATGTCGGGTCTTTTATTTTTTTGGCGTTTCGGGCTTTTCCCCCCTCTCCTTTTATTCCCAGCTCTGTTTTCTGCAACTTGCTTTCAGCGAGCGATTTTATCTGTCTATGCGGTTGATATCTAAATACACGTCATTCCTTCTATCTACATACATCCCATCTTACCATGGAAATCTGACTATCTAAGCTCCTAAGTAGACCATTAGCCAACAATCGACGGCTGCTATGGATGATGGCATTCGCCGAACAATTCAACATCCAGTAGAGGATTTGTCCGAAGGGTAGGATGAAAAAGTCAATCTTGTAATGCACTCGCTATCTCGTAATCATGATCATAATACATGTACAAGGCATCATAGTCCACGAATTTCCCATCCATTTCCCATTCAATCTGCCGTGCCAGACCCTACATCTGCATCATCTAGAGACCTCCCCATCTTTTTCGAAAGGGGAGATTCAGCATACGCAGGCCTCATAGAACGCTGACCACTTGGACGGACATTGGACGAGCCTTTGCGCACTGGGGTCTCCGGTGTACTTTCCCTGGAACGAAGATGGAAGCCCTGGGACCGCCCACTGGGCGAGTAAGGATCGCCGCCATATTGGTGGGGACCACTACCAGGCTCCCAGCCGTACTGGTAATCCTCACCGCGGTGTTTGACGGGGCTTTCATTGTAAGGGTCCCAGCCAACGCGACGACGGGCCTCGGAGCGTAACTGCTGACGGTGCTGTTCGTCGCCGCCAGCGCCGGTTGTGGAAGATTCTTCCAGGAAGAAGTTGAGGAGCTCGTCGCTGATCGAGAGGTGGGATTGTTGCTGGAATTGCTGGAGGGATGTTAGGCGGAGGAGGGTTTCGAGGAGGGAGAGAGAGGTGCGGATGTTTTCGAAGTGAGGGTTGGAGACGGTTGTTGTCGCAGCGGCGGATGAGAATGATTGGTCCAGGCGAGATGGGGAGTGGAATGAATGCCCCTTCTCATTAAGCGATAGCTTGGCCATTATATTTGGGTCGATTGAGGGTTCGTCTGTGGATGAGTCGGGATTTTCGGCTTCGGATTCGGTATCGGAGGTTTCGTCTTCGTTGTAAACTTCAAATGCGATCCATTCTGGGTCTAGTCCGGCAGGTAGACGCCATTCTTCGGGTATGGAGTCTTCATGCAGATAATTGAAGCTGCTGGTTTCCGGATTGTCGCCTCCGTTCAGCTGTGCGTCGAGTTGAGCTTGCTCCTCGTCCTCTGGTTCTTCTTCGGATTCTGTTTGAGGAAAGTCCTCTTCCACCTCGTCGCGTTCCATCATGCGCCGTGGCGGGAGAGCATTTATGTCTCGTTTCAATAGTAGCACTGGGTTGTTTGTTTCGCCCTCTGTGCTGATGTTGAGGATCCTCCCGGTGTCTGCGTAGAAGATTTTTGAAATTTGATGAATAGGAAGAATCTCCCGGATTCCTGCTGTGGAAATGCTTTCATAGTTTTGGGGCTGTGGGTCATTCTCGTCGATTGTGTGAACTCGGCCATCATCTAAATCTTCGATGATCAGGACTTGATAAGCGTATTCATCGGACCCGGCTGGCCCCGGAAGTTTCGTTCGTGGGTGTTGGTCTGGAGACTGCAATGAAGCTATTGGAACGCGGCGCAGCTTCAGACGTGCCTTGTGCATGACTTCCTTCCATGTGGCTTCGCGAACAGATTCTTCATCATGGGGTCGCAAGTGGCTGGCAAATAGCATGTACATAGATAAGGTAAAAGTCGGCCCTACTTGGACTGCCTGAGATGGGGACATTGAATATTGTGTATCCCCTGCTGTGAGAAACGTGCTTGCTTGGAGGAGCCGGGATGGCGACACTGTTGCGGGTAGGTTGGTGGATAACTTGGCGCCAGAGGTGGTGATGGCCAGGTTCATCAGTGGTACTGCGTCTTCAATCCGAGCCAACAGCTTTTTGATATCTTTGATAATAAGCTTGATTTCTTTCTCGCTGTTTGTCTGATCTTTGGACGATCTTGCCCCTTTGCGTCTCAATTCTTCAGATGCCGCGGCTCTTCCCAGTCGCTGTCCTAGGGCTTGAATGTCCCATCTCAGAGACTTTGTGAGGGCGACAGCAGATTCCAATGACGTATTTCCTCGAGCAGCACTAAACCAATTATGAGCTTTTTGGCAATCCAAACCAGTGTCGAGTGGCTCACATCAACTCAATCATGTCGATAGCTGGGGCGATAACTTGTATCTTGCTTTCTAAGCGTTGTTGCAAGGAGACTAGCTCGTCTCTGTCCTCGCTCTTGACATTCTGCGGGAACTGATCAGCGCTGACTTCTTCCTGTAGCCGAAAAGAACACGTACTCTGAGCAAGCGCGATGATTGGCGCATTGCATAACTGGCAGTTATTGCAATTCCCGACCTACGTGACAGCTTTTAGCATTGAAAGGTGTCGTTCCTCAGTCATTATCAAGCATACCGAATGGCATAATTCATGGCTTGCCGGGTGAGCTGTATATAACAACGAATTAGTTGCTTGCCCTATGATCAATGATATACGAGACACACCCCAGTTAAAAATGTATCCATCTTGGTTCAAGTTAAATGCCAACGGCCTTTAAAATCTGTAGTGTAAATCGTATTGAGATAGGCGATATAAAATGGCATGGAGGGGTGCTTATCGATAAGAGAATAAAAGCTCAAAGAAGATGAGCCCAACTGTCAACACTTGCACCTTTCACCTTGGAAAGAGACAATGTAGTGAGGTCAGAGTATTGAAAAAGTCATAATTATAAGCAAAGAGTCTGTTTTCCCAACAAACATTTATTTACCTTGTCACACTCAGCAGAAGAAATCCATTCAATATAAAATATCACGTGAAAAAAAAATATCGCGGGGTCTTAGTCATTCACCTGTGCAAAATCAAAAGGCCCTGGGGCCCCTCTTATTGACCCAACCTGTATTCGTCCAAATCCGTCTTGGTTTCGTATTTTCGTGGTAATTCGACCTTAGCTCTTATTTCACGATGTCAAACCAAACACCCGAATCCTGGGAGGATGAGCTTTCCCGACAGGCTGAAGGCGTTAACCTGAACGCACAATCTCGCCCTCAGGCCCAGGCGCCCTCATTCCAACCCGGCGCCGCCTCTTTCACGCCTGGAGCCTCTTCCTTCGTCCCCGGACAGCAGTACCAACAGTATGCTGGCTACCCCCAACAGGGATACCCTCAGTACGGCCAGCAACAGGCCTACGGTGGCTACCACCAGCAGCAAGCCTATGGCCAGTACAACGCCTATGCCCAGCAGCCCGGTGGCTTCAACCAGTACAACAATGGACAGCAACAGCAGCAATACGGTGCCTATAACCAGCAGCCTCGCCA